AAATTCATGAATATCCTGGTTCCATGAAGTTGTTCAAGTGTGAATGGAAAGAGGGGAAGAGGGTAACGGTATTTGACTAATGTTGTTGAGACCTCTGTAACTAATGCACAGCATTAAAGCATCAGTTATTTTACTCCACAAAGAAGTACTCGAAGCAGGAGGGTAAGTGAATCGATTAATGTACCCTTGATCCAGAGCTTCTTTAACAAACTCTTCCATAGACTTTTGTTCTGGGATGGTGAGAGAATATATTTTGGCAGATTTTTGGACCTCTTGGCACTGAAGTGACTTAGCAGATGGTGAGAAAATGGGAAATGAGCCAGGGGCACCCTAAAATGATCCCAGAGGTGAAATCCCTATAACCAACAGACTGCTGCGTAGATCTGAGGAGATGAAGTCTCCGGCTGACCCAGAGACAAGAAGAGCATTTACTTAAACACAGTTTCAAGATGTAGTGAGTTCAACAATTGTGGTTAAAGGATGTACATTTACAGGGAAAGCAGTAACCACACTCACTGCAGTTGATGGAGGGCAGATAAGACATGCTCGTAATACATGTCTACAGTATAGACAGAGTTTCTGGGTCAGTCGTCGAAGGCGTTCTCCCAAGGAGGGCAGAGTTGATTTTGGGTTAGGGTTAGAGTTAGGTTAGGGTTAATGTTAGTGAGTGACCTCCATACAGCTGTAAATCCTGTTTGTTACCCAGATGGAGAGCTGAATAAACCACTCGAGTCTGATCATGTCATCATAGGCAGAGAGATGCAGATGTAGCAAGGGTTTCAGTACTTGCAGATAGGTCATTAACAGGGAGCACTCATTCCAACCACTGGAGGCTGCTAAAGTACAGAAGCGAAGACATGATCTTGAACAGATTTTCCCTTGTTTTAAATGGTATAGTTTCTCTCCCACTGATCACAGAATCACAGGAATGCATAATGAAGGCATGCAGAGACTGGGTAATGGGTCCATTCAAAGTTCAGAAACTCCACCCATTGATTAGAGCACTTGACCTTTTTAAAAAGACATAGCATTGACAATCTTAGCTTAAGATGAAAATAAATGTGGATTCATTTCCAGGGCTAGTGAACATTGGAGCAAGAATCCATTGCAATCCTCCACAAACCAGGTTAGGGTGCAAGATTGACCATGGGACATCCGGATACAGATGCAGGTGAAGAAGCGACAGGTGCAAAGGTGAATACTAGTGCTGGTGGTGTTGTGGTTGGAAGAGTGAGTATACTTTGAAGTGAATTCACCAGCTCCGGAAAGGGATCCACGTCTGTCTGATTCATGTCAGTAAGGCTTGGTCTTCTGTAATGGTGGAATGTAACTCAGACAGGTTATAATCATACAGACTGATGTTTATTGCAATGCTTGCACTATGTGAAGCAGGTGAGATAAGCCAGTTATAGTCTGTCAAAACACCGATATAGAGTCTCTTTGATTACCAGGTTATGGGAGGATGCAGGAGTATGGTGAGGATGGGAATGCTGGGATATTCTAGGAGCTGGTTTGGTGATCTGGATACTGGTAGGTTTCATACAACACACACAGCAGTAGCTGACAAAGAATACCGGGATTGCTGGCGCAGAGACCAGGGTAAATGTTCATTTTTTCAGGATTTTGTCATTAGAACATTGAGTGTATGTTTGTGTCTGTAGGACTAATTTCTAATGTATCTCATCACAAGCCTTAATTGTTCATTTACAAATGTAATTAGAGAAGATTAAGCCATTCTCAGCAGATTTTTGGAGAAATTAGAGATTAAGCATGTGTGAACTGTTTGATTATGTGCGTTTCTTAACAGCATAGACCCAAATAATTGTAATCACGTGTAAACACATCAATTAAAATCTATTGGCTTCATTAATTTCAATTTGTCTCTCAGATTGTAAGAGGTGCTCTAAAGCTTTTGTAATCCAATCAATCAATAGGGTATGTAAACACTTAATGGATTAAAAGCTGAAACTTGAAAGATGGAATGGTGAATGTTGCAGAGTACAAACAGTTGTAGTTGATATAAAAGTAAAAAAAAAAACTTTCAAAGGATTTTTACTGTCTGTGATGTGGTAAAAGTAGTTTATTACTTACATCCATAAATATTGTAAGTAAAACCTTGCAGTTACCTGTTAATGACCACAACACAATTAATAATATGTCAAATTAAAGAACTTTATCATTTCAGCACAGTCCTGCAGTCACAGTCCAAAACCCAAAATGCACTCACGAGAGTTCCCTTTTAAAATCTGTCTTTCGGATGAGACGTTAAACCGAGGTCCTGACTCTCTGTGGTCATTAAAAATCCCATGGCACTACTTGTGAAAGAGCAGGGGTGTAACCCCGGTGTCCTGGCCAAAATCCCTCTATCAGCCCTTACGATCATGGCCTCACAATTATCCCCTTTCCACTGAATTGGCTCTATCACTGTCTCCACACTCCACCAATAGCTGGTGTGTGGTGAGCGCACTGGTGCCGTTGTCCTGTGGCTGCCGTCGCCAAGTCCAAGTGGATGCTGCACACTGGTGGTGAAGAGACCCCCCCCCCCCAAGATTGTGAAGCGCTTTGTGTGTATGGCCATACACAATAAATGCGCTTTATAAATACACATTACATCACATTAAAATCTGTCTCTCAACCATGAAGTCAATCATCCTATCCAAAAGCCAACAAATGTTTGGTGTCAATGACAACCCCAGGAATATCCCAGACTGGGCAAAACTTTAACCAACTAATGATTAATGGGAAAAAAAATATGCGACTCACATACACAAAACTCAACTTGCTCAAAAACATTTAAAAAATAACATTAAATTCAATTTCATCAAATTCAAAACATTTCATGACAAACAAGTACCTACCTAAGGAGCACTGGAATATCCAGGCGACAACTGTAAGTCCCGCGTGTAGAAATAATCACAAACGTGACGTAAACTAATTAAAACGTGTTTACTGATAACAAGCAGCGCGTGAAGTGTGCGCCCGCTGTCCAGAGCCCTCTGTGAATGCCCACCTCTTTTACTGTCTGAGCTGAGAGGAAAATAAACCCTCCTGTGCCTGTTTTCACATGGGAATATCATCGTGAGGCAGCTGTAAGTTTTATTAAAATATATGTAAAACAAATAATAGTAACCAAACAGATATATATATATATATATATATATATATATATATATATATATATATATATATATATATTTTTTTTTTTTACTTTACCAAAAGCAAACAAAGAAAAAAAGCTCAATATCAGAGATTAAATAATAATAATAATTACAATATTAATAATAATAGTAACAACTTAAGCCATAAAAAAAAGTAGATACACCAGAAAAGGTCCTCAAATTTTTTCAAAGTCCTTCCTCTGACACTGTACAGTAATTTCTCAGGAGGGCTGTAGGAAATAAGTTTGTTGAACCAATGTTTTGTAGATGGAAAGTGTGATGATTTCCAGTTAATTAAAATGCATTTCTCCACATCTCTTCCAACTAGAAGTGAAAAGTATATTTCATGATGAGATGTATAACAGTTCAGTGTCTCCTATTATTCAGATTCTCTGAGTTATACTTGCAGTTTTCGATGATATCACAGACATCAACTATATATTCCCAAAAATCAGACAAAACAGGACAACTACAAAGAATATGCACCAAATCTCCTTCAGCTGCACTGCACCTTTGTCATTTTAAAGATATATTAGCAACTGATAGTTAATGAAAAATGAACACTTAAGTTCTCTACTTAACAAAACAACAAGTCAGACCGCTGTCAATGAATCACTTCAGTCACTGCAGTATAATCGAAATCTGGAACCAGCTTTGATTGTCAGACTGATTGATTGGGTCATCTTTAAACACATGCCATTAGTGTTAATTACAAACTACAGTAAAAGTTAGCTGAGTTATCTATATAACTGAGAGTTTAAACACCTGTCAGTTGTCTGGTTGTTTGTTTCACACCGTTGCTCTTAATTTTATTTATTTATTTATTATTGATCAAATTTAACAATATTTCTTGTTCGTCATTTCTAATCAATCAATACATTTGTCAAATTATGGAAGTATAAAAATATGTAAACATAGCATTTTGGCTTAAATCCAAAGTTTTATTTAATGACTTTTTAGTGTACAGTTTTGTGAATATGAATATGAAAAATAATCAGAAAAATATACAGCCTATTTATAATTACATAAACATTTTAATAGGCTCCACCCTTAGAGTTAAAATGTTTTGCACATATAAAATGTGAAAAAACATAACTAATAACTTTATATAATATTAAATATATCCCATAATTAATAATAAATATATCCAACAAAAAAGAAAAAAAGTACACAGCCCAAGGCTTTGTGACACAACAGAACCTGCAATTAAAAAATTACAAAACCATTAGGCTAACTGTTAAAACAATAAAACGTAAACCTATAAAAACATTTCTTTGTCACTAAATCCAAAGTCTTGAGACTGCTGTTAAATATATCTAATATTCCTTATGTAAACTTTGTATTTCTTTTTGATTTGTTCTGAAAATAGCTATTGTTCTGAAACTATCTACACCTTACATTAAAATTTCGGGAGGGCCCATATAAGTCTCAAAATTATTTTAACTGAGTTCAATCAGCCTAAATTAAATTAGCTGATAAATTGAATAAACTAAATTAGCCTACGTTAAAAAAGATAAAACACTCAAATTAAAAATCTAAATAATTAAATTATCAAAATATTTTATATTATTTATTAAAAATGATTCAGATCAGCTTAAAGAAAAAAAGCCCTTGAAATAATATTTTTAAATAACAAATAGGGTTCTGCACTGCTTCAAACTGGTCATAGGATAACAACACTAGAGGACGCACAATATGCAATTTTTGTATGTCTGATAATCATGGTTTTTACCAACATTCATTATTTATCAAAGCGGTAATGACATTAAATCACTCATACAGTTCCTCAAGTCAAATAAGTGTCATATTTTATGCTATACTGGCTGTTTTTTTTTTTGTTTGTTTTTTTTGCACAAACCGCAGACACAAAGATGTGGAAGTACATGTCAAACTGACATACAAGATGCCTTGCACAATCACCAAGGGATGTTATTGCCTTCCCAATCTAAAAGAGTCCCGCTGTCTTTCTCAGTGAGGCTTGTGATGACTTTTATCATGCCGCTGACGCTCTCAGCTGTCGTCAGGGGAGCCTGAGGGGGCCACCAAAAAATGACAAATGTGAGGTAAACCAATGAATGTAACAACATATTTGTGTAAAGCACTTTGTATTACCTGTGGGCCTCCCATTTCTGTCTGGACCCATCCTGGATGGAGAGACGCAACAAGAATGCCATCTTTTCTGAAATCCTCCGCCAAGCAGCGAGTTAACATGTTCAGTGCAGCCTGGAGTATAGAAACAATCATGATGTGTTTGTTTAAATAGTGATTTCTGCCTAAAATGAAGTCCATGCTTAGCATTATTATTCATAATGTGATATTAATATTTATGGTACCTTGCAGATGCGATAGGGGTACATTGGAGACCTGTAGAAATTCTCAGGGCATCTTGTGATGGATGACAGCAGTGTGGAGACATTGACAATAGCCGATCTACTGCAAGACATGCTTGACTGAGGAAACTGAGCTGCAGCTTTACACAAGAGGGGGTGGAAATTCTGCAAATGAATTAAAGACATTATGAAAAGAAATGTTACCAAGTTCACCCAAAAATGAATATTCTGCCATCATTTACTCACCTTCATGCATGTGTTCCAAACCTTTATTAGTTTCTTTCTTCTGATTCAGAATCCTATTCTGAACCAAAAAAGTGTGTATTTTGAAGAAAGTAAACCTGTAACTGTTGCATTCGATATTATTTGTTGTCCATAGCATTATGAAAGTCAAGAGTTACAGGTTTTCAACTTGCTTCAAAATATCTTTTTAGTCTTCAACAGAAATAAGAAATTCCTAAAGGTTTGGAACATATATGGAGGATGAGTAAATACTGAGTACATTTTCATGTTTGAATGAATTATCCCAATCATTATACACATCCTGGTGTTGTTTAATAGGCATATATTCTTGTTTACTTTTTTAAAATTACATATAGGGACAAATTTATGAAATATCTGCACTAGTTTATGTAATGGCTGTAAATTTTAAGCTTTAAAAATATGCAAGATATCACTGAATCCCGACTTCACAGAATCACATAAGTTCGTTAAATTCCTGTTTTATTTAGCAAAAACCCGGACCTATCATGACATTCAGAGAGATTATTAGTGCAATTGTTCATGCTATCTCACCAATAAAAAGCACACAACAAGGGAAATCAAGACAAATGTTATTCTCGATTCTAGAATTGTGGTGCAAAGATAAACTTTCAATTGTTTTTCAAAAACCAAAACTTCAATGAAACAGTTCTGAAAAATAATGCATGTTTTTAAGCTGTCTCTAAAACAATGTTTGTGTGTGTGTTTAGAGCATTCTGTCTAGAAATGATTAACTTGAAGACTACCGCTACACATTTTCCTGACTGTCTCTGCCTCCTAAATCATAAATTCAGCTTCAGTTATCAATAAATAATTAAATCTTGGAATAATCAGCTTGAAAAAGTTGGGACAGTGCAGAAAACACAAATTAAAAATAAAGAAAGTAGTGATTTCCAAATTTACTTTGATTTGTATTTAATTACAGACATTATGAACACAAAATATTTAATGTTTTGTCTGGTCAACTTCATTTCATCTGTAAATATACATCCTTTCCTGTCATTGAAAAAAAAGTTGTGACAGGAGTAATTTAGGGCTAGTAATCAGGTAAATTATTAAATAATGATGTGATTTGAAACAGGTGTTGTCAACAGGTGTTTGTAATTATGATTTGGTACAGAAGCAGCATCAAAAAAGGTCTAGTCCTTTAGGAACAAAGATGGGCTGATGATTGCCAGCTTGCCAACAAATATGTGAAAAAATGGTTGAAATGTTTAAAAACAATGTTCCTCAAAAATCCCAAAAGACATTTGGATATTTCACCTTTAACAGTCATAACATAATTACAAGATTCAAGGAATCTGGACAAATTTTAGTACGTAAAGGACAAGGGGGCAAGCCTAAGCTGAAATACCATGACCTCGATCCCGTTAGGCAGCACTGCATCAAAAATCGATAGTCATCTTTTAGCAATCCCACCCCATGGGCTCAGGACTACTTTGGCAAACCTTTGTCAAGTATTATAATACATGGATACATCCACAAATGCCAGTTAAAACTGAACTGTGCCAAAAGGAAGCCCTATTTTAACAAGGTCTAGAAGCACCATTGACTTCTCTGGGCTTGAATACATTAAGGATGGACCATCACACAGTGGAAATGTGTACTGTGGTCAGATGAATCAGTATTTGATGTATTTCTTGGGAGACATGAACACCGTGTGCTCAGCACAACAGAAGAAAAGAATCATGCAGACTGTTACCAGCAACAAGTCCAACGCCAGCGTCTGTCATGGTCAAGTGCTCTTGGCAAAGGAAACTATCACTTTCAAGAAAGAAATCACTTCTTTCTTTTTTTTTGTGTTTTCCATACTGTCCCAACTGAATCTGATTAAGGGGTTGTAAGTCTATTTTTAATCTTTTATTCACTCTCTTGTGTAAATTCACATTTGCATGAAAATTTTTTTCTTTATTATTTTTAATTGCAATTCTAAAAAATATTTAGTGTTTGTCCCAACATTCTGGTCAGCTCTGTTACATTGCGTATAAAAAAATCCTTAAAATGCTGACAGAAAAAAATCATGTGAATTAGAAGTGATGTCACTTCCTGTCAGGCCTGGATTTAGAATTCAGAGGCCCCTGGTCACAATGTCTTGTAGCCCCCCTACCTGGCTGCACCCCCATATATTTCTAGTCTACAAAGATTTAACTTATTTTTAAAGCATTTAAAGCACACTTTGAAAAAAATATACTAATACAACTAGTAAAATGAATGGATTTTAATATACTTGTTCAGGTTCACTGAAGCAGTACTAAAAATGCATATTTAAGGGTATTTTTAAAGTATAACTTCTAAAAACTTATAATGCATATGATTATGATAACACCTCTCCAATCCAGTTCAGTTCTATGAGTCTGAGTCTTCCATAATACACACACTTATTAATGATTCCTACTTGTCTTCTTTGTGATGAAGAGTAGGCAAAATTTTATATGTAGTGGGGGGAAAAAGATTTTTTACAAGTTTATTTTTTTATAAATTTGCAACAATTAAAAAATTTAATACATACAACAATTACATTTTTCACATTGTCATTTTGGGGTATTGTGTGTAGAATTTGGAATCTAATAAATCTGTAACATAAAAAATGGAAAAAGTGAAGCTCTATGAATACTTTCCGGATGCACTGTATATATACTGTCATCATGGCAAAGATAAAATAAATGAGTTATTAGAAATGAGTTACTAAAACTATTTCGTTTAGAAATGTGCTGAAAAATCTTCTCTCCGTTAAATAGAAATTGGGGAAAAAATAAACAGGGGAGCTAATAATTCGGATTTCATATGTATATGTATATGTATATGTATATATATATATATATATATATATATATATATATATATATATATATATTTAATTTTTTTTTTTTTTACCATAAACTCGCTGATCATGAAAACTCTGTAATCATTTACTGTAATCATTGTAATCATTACTTACCCTGTTTAAATTTACTTTGTCTGGTGAACACAGAAGATATCTTTGAAAGAATGTTGACTAAGAATAAGAACGTAGGAAACTGTTAACCTCTGACTAGTAACCTTTTTTCTATGGATATTGATGGATAATAGTTTCAAACATTCTTCAAGATATTTTGGTTTGTGTTCAACAGATATAAGACTCCTATGGATGTTCATAACCATCTGAGTAAATGGTGAGTAAATTTCCATTTCCGGGTGAATAATGCATCTATTTTAAGTAAAACCATCATGACACCCACCTTTGCAATGAGCATGGGTCCTACAACATTAGTCGTGTACGAATCCACCATCTCCTTTTTGCCTGTCTCCACTAGGGAACCTGGGATGTTCACACCAGCATTGTTGATGATCAGATTTAAGCCTTTGCCGTTCAGCTTGGATTCCACTAAGTTTGAAGCCTCTTTGATGCTATCTGGACTATCTGTATCTTTAGAGAAATGATGGAGGACAGCATAAATGAATAATGGCAGAATCATAAAGCAACCTTAAGATTGCAGCAGTTTACTCTTTTGTTGTGAATATTTTACCAAGTTGCACAACAGTGATCACACCCTGGTGCTTCTGAGCGAGATCCCGAAGTTCCTGCAAGACAATCAGTTGAACATGCTTCTCAGGAGAATCCAGAAATGTGCATCTTTGAATAGAGACAGATCATAAACAAAAGTTGCCTAACTAGTCTCAGTGCCACAGTGACTCGTCTATGTTGTCTTTGTAAAACTGAAATATTACAGATGGTATTAAGCTGAATAGATATTAAAAGTCATTAAATAAAATTTACAAAGATTTTTGTGGTTTCAGAACCACTAAGTAGCACTTTAAAATAAGGTCAATTAGTTAAAACTAGTTAATACATTGACTAAGAATAATTTATTTTTCTTTTAAAGCGAAAGGGACAAATCACCCAAAAATGAAACATTTCCTCATTATTTTATGCATTTCTTTTTTTTCTGTTGAACACAAAAGCAGATATTGTGAAGAATGTTAAGGGGGGAAAAGCAGCCATTAACTTCTATTGTGGGAACAAACAATACTATAGAAGTCAATGGCTGCTTTTTCCCAACATTCTTCAGTATCTTTTGTGTTCAACAGAAAAAAGAAACACAAACAGGTTTGAAACAAGTGGAGGATGAGTTATTGGTGACAGAATTTTTAATTATAGTCTCCTTTAATATATATATACTAACTAACAAACAAATAACCAATACACACAAACACACAAACACACTCATATACACACACACACACACACACACACACACACACACACACACACACACACACACACACGCACACACACACACACACACACACACACAAGAGTGTGTTTGTGTGTATTGGTTATTTGTTTGTTAGTTTTCTTTAGTGCAATTTTATTACAACAACATTATTTTTATTCAGTATTTAAATGCATTTGCTTCTGGATTTATTTATCTCATTAGCTGAATATTGTTCATGTTAGCTCAGTTCCATTAAATAATGTCTACAAATACATTATTCAAATCAAAATAAGCATTTGTTTATGTCGAAAATGAGCTAATATTGCATACTTACTCTCATGGTAGTTTATATCGAAGTTGCTATTTAACTGCACATGCTTGGTGTTTTGTAACATCAAATTTTTACACGGTGGGTCTTTAGCCCAGCGCTCAACCCCCTACCTGGAGGACCAGGACATACACAAATACACCATGGACAATTTAGCCTTACCAATTAACTTATAGCGCATTTCTTTGGACTGTGAGGGAAATCAGAGCACCTGGAAGAAACCCACACAAACACGAGAACATGCAAACTCCATATAGATATAACAACTGGTCCAGCCGGGGCTCAAACCAGCAACCTTCTTGCTATGAGGCGACAGCAAAACCCACTGCACCACCATGCCACCTTCGCTAATATTATTACCTAGTATTTTGTTGATAACAAAGAAATCTTATACTAGTTACCACTTACAGTTCAATTACTTAATGCATTTAATATTGTAAATTAATAATGAACATTAACACAAATAAATAATAAACAGGCATTGTAATGATTAATTTGAGTACAATTTTAGAGATAAGCTTTTTTTTTATTTATTTTTTTATAAATGATTCGGATTGAACTGCAGTGTTAATAAATTGTTTTGAAAAAATAGAAGAAGAATCACCCACACAACTTCCCTTTCTCATCAGTGCTTTCATGAGATTGTGGTCTCACAAGTTGCTTTGGTTAGTAAAACTGGTCCTAAGCAATGTTTTCTCAAGATGATATGAGATTATGTAATAAGACGAAACTAAACTACACTAAACTACATTCAAATCTGTCAGTAAAACAAGAAAGATAAACTGTTTAAAGAGAAAGATGGACATTTTTCCACTGTTTTGACCATAAACCTGCTGATCATTAAACGTATGCTTATTTACTCACCCTGCACTATTTGTATTCAAACCGGTTTCAGTTTATTTAATCAGTTGAAAACAAAAGAAGATATTTTAAAGAAAGTTGGAAACTGGAAACCATTGACCACTAAAACCAACTCAATTAAAATAGTATAAATGTAAATTATATTATGAATATACAATTTATATTAAACTGTCCATTTTAATTCTAAATTAATTGTCTATTCGTATAAAGTACTTTTTATATAGACGGTTCATTACGCTGTGGCAACCCCTGATCAAAAAAGGGACAAAGCTGAAAAGAAAATGAATGAATGAATACATTTTTAAACATTTTATACATTTTTTTTAAATAAATTTTTATAAATGTTATAAATTTTTATATAAATTTTTATACAAATCTCTTAATTAAAGGGTTAGGATAATAAATATACACAATATTTCATTTACTCATTCTCCACTATATATAGATTTAGAGCTATTCGATTAAATGACAAGGAAATGTACATTTTTTGAGGAACTATCTGGTTATATTAGGAACAAAGCATAAATACACAATACACAATACAATAACAAATTCTAGCCTAATAAACTTAACAGCCTCTTACCTGAGCTTTTGGTCCACCTGGGTCTCTACAGCCTGCAAAGATGTGACCTGGAGATTTGGGTAAATCAACTAGCTGGTGAACCAGCTCAAGTCCAATTCCCCTGTTTGACCCGGTTACCAAAACACTGTCACAAATTACAGACGCCATCATGACTGTTCTGAGACCTGCACTTTCTACAATGAGAGGCTTGTACACATATGTCAGCATGTACAGTATAGGATGTGTGGGAGTAATCGCTGTTAAGTAATCGCTCTATTAACTCTGTGAAAGTCTGTAAATGTTTACCAAATGTCATCACTTGTGCTGTTTTAGTCCCTCCCAGCATACAAAAGCCCTCTTCTTCCTGGACAGTGAGAAATGCATTCACGTCAACTCGTTTTATGCAAATAATATCACAAATGAGATATGTTTTTAAATATTGTATAAAGATATGAGATGTTTTGAGCTTCTCTATTATAACATGGTGCTCTAGTTTGACTTATTTCTAGCTTAAAACAATGTTCTTTAATTAGGAAGTTTGTGATATAGTTCAAGATATGAAATAGTTGTTGGTGTGTTAAAATGTTAAGAGCACAAAACATGAGCTAGATGAAGTTGTTCTTTAGAATGAGCCACAAACACATCCGCATGATGTGGAAATACTTGTTTAACGTACAAAAGCTGATAATGCAAACTACACAAGAAATGACTTGTGTAATCATAATGGTGTTGTCTACTGCCATGCCAATCACCTATATTCAAGGCTTGTGATACCAATCAGATCCAAAAATAAGCTTGATATATATATATATATATATATATATATATATATATATATATATATATATATATATATATATATATATATATATATATATACATATACATATCACTTAGTCATTTCTGAAGCATCCTGTACTAATAATTTAACTTTGTCTTTTTTCTTTGTCACTGCTTTAGAAAAAAAAAAAAAAAAAAAAAAAAAAATATATATATATATATATATATATATATATATATATATATATATATATATATATATATATGTGGTATAAACAATGCTCATATGACTAAACATGAAATATTTACAAGGTGTTCTCACCTTTCTGATCCTGCTAGATTAGTTTTGTACACTTCCACCATATTTATATTGCTTTCTGCTTCTCAAATGTTCACGCCAGCCTTGCAAATGATCAGATTCTGATTTTTGCTTTTAAATCTCTCATCAAATTAAGAAACAATTCTCACACTTTCGTGTTTCAGAGCTACTGTAGTGCTAGTTATTGTTATAATATTAATATTTTAGGGGGTCTTAAATAGTAGATGTATGTTTCTTACAGGCAAGATTCACACCTTTACTTACAAAAGAGCTGCAGATGCAAAACTAGTTTCAGCTTCACAATGACAGTTTACAAATGTAAAATAGCAGAACCATAGATAAGATCTAAATGACAAGGCACGAGCATGTCATAAATGCAGTAAAAACAGGAAAACCAGAATAACCCCTCATGGTTAAAGATATGCAGATTATCTTGAAAATGTTTCAATGGCTTTTCCTGTTTGCTAAGGGTTTCAACTGATGAATTCATGAATCTAGTCCCACTTGTTGATCACAGCTAATTTTTTTTTCTAAATTAGTAAGTAAACAGTTAATGCTTACTGAGTCCATTTCTGTGTCTACAAACATTTCTAAGTTTACCTCCACTGTTAATTTTAAGTGTAAAAATAAATCTGTTAATTGTGAATATATTATTATTAACATAATTGATTATCTATAGCTTACGATTCAAAATTTGACTCTTTGCTTTAACAAAGTGACTTTTATTACCATTTTTAAATAGTTTATTAGTTTCTTTTTTACTCCAGATTAAGAAATGCCACTGAAATGCTGCAATGTTGTTGCAATCTTCACAGTAAAAATATCTAACCTTGCTTAATAAAAAAGGAAGTTATAAAACATTATTACAGCAATTTTGTGGCATCTGATGAAACAAGGAACAACATATCTATTTTAAATTGCTCTAATATTCTAATAAGAAAATGATTTACAGAAATAGAAGTTATGACCACTAGATGGCAGAGTTTATTTACTTATGTCACTATAAACAAAAAAGACTTCCAAAACGTTTGAAAGCATTTTTGGCTAATAAAAATAACTAACTAAATACATAAATAAAATCGTTTTTTTTTTATTATTGTTTGTTTTATTTGAAACATTTGTTTTTGTTTTCACCAAGTTCGAAGTGAATAAAATGAATTATAAAATGAATGAGTTATTAGATCATCTACAAGCACACATCTTCTATCACACACCAACACAAAAGAAACGCACTTTACTTTTATTTATTTTTGCTTGTTTTATGTAACTACTTTATTTAATTATAATTATTTTATTATTTTGCTTCATTATAATTATATTATTTGTAATTATTATAATTTATTATTATTATTTATTTTTTATTTACAGCTGTTGTTGCCGTTGCAGTTTTGTTTTTAGTGTTTAGTGGTATCTATCAAGCACACGTGTATTTTTTACCACACACAAACACAAAAGTCTACATAACCAACCATCCAGAGCTTTCTCTTAACCTGTTCACAATCACTTGCACATGCAGAAAAACTGAAAACAGCCCGTCCTCTCAAACTAGGACAAAGAGCAGCTGATACACACACACACACACACACACACACTCACATAACCATGGTGACCAGGTGACGTCTCACATTCCAGCTCTCACATTTCAGATGCCAGGCCAATATTCATATACTGACTAAACACAGTGCCAGTCTGCAAAGATGCCACGAACATTAGTTTTGCAAATTTAAGATCTAACAAATATGTCCAGATCATGTACAGGTAAACCATGTTTTTGTCCAGCTGTCCATCAAATGCTTCCTAGCCATTCACTTGTTCATTTAACCTGAGCAAAATCGCCTCAAGCTAGAGGCCAACCATGCCATGCCAGAAATTCTTAGATTTTTTCTTTCCTTTAAGCTAAAGCCTGAGGAATGCTGGGTAGGCAGATGAGAGGCTGACGGCTGGCGGCTTGGGTCTGGTAACCTGCTGAGGGAATGTAGATCCTCAAAACCTATGTAAGTGTACAGGCTGGTCGGACTGCATTCTTCATAGGTAAATGCACACACACACCTGAAAACCCAAACAAACATTCCTCACTCGCGACCTGTGCATCTGAGTGTGTTTGTGATGCATGAACAGATTTAGGAGAACTGAGAGTCTGTGTATCAAAAATATCACCAGGCTTGTTCCTCGTTAAATGTTAATGAAAGCCAGTCTATACTTACAACAAGCTTGCGTCCATGTCTGGAGTGCTGTGAAAAACTGGATAGGGAGTCTTAAATGATCAAACAACAAATGACGCTCAAATGCATTCAGAGGAAATATTTGCTGACAGGATTAAAAATATACATATATATTTCAGCTCAAAATCAAAAGCTAAAAACTTCATAAATAAACCTAGAATATCTGATGTGCTGTATTTTGGTGAATAGGAACTAGAAAGCTCAAAATTGAGTATGAAGCTAAAACATTTACAAACTAAAAAACAATTTTAGAAGATGAACTGAATTACTTAGATGGTCCCACGTGAACAAGATAGCAATTTATAGTAAGTAGTACTATATTTCTGAGCCGTATGTTATACCGTATATATTATAATATTTACAACTTTTAGTTAATGAATTCCACAGTAATACTGTAGTATGAACTATAGTGAACTGAAAAACTGTAAAACTGTAGTATACTTTAGTTTTTACTAATGTAAACTTTGGTGTATAGTGGAATAATATTGTTGTAGAAAGTTAGAACTAGTTTGGCCAGAAGAGAAATGGTTGTGCCCAACAGAGCCTGGTTTCTCTCTAGGTTTTTTCCCTTTACTTTTGTCAATTGGTGAAGTTTGTTCCCTGCCACTGTCGTCACTGGCTTGCTTGGTTTGGAACTTTTGGAGCTGCAGATCGATGGAGTTGCTCTTCAGTTTTTGGACTTTCAGCAGTGAAAATGAAACCACACGGAACTGAACTAAACTAAACTGAACTTCAACTCTGAAAACTGTTTCAATTAACTAGAACTTCTATGTTAAGCTGCTTTGACACAATCTACATTGTAAAAGCACTATAGAAATAAACATGAATTGAATAGGACTAAAGGATTTATTATATTTTTTATACCACAGCAACTATAGAATTGCAACAATAGATTAATTTAAGTATTTATTAACAGTATTGTTGAAAAAATAGTACTACTTACTATATATATTTCCTTTAGAGTTGTTTATTTTTTCCATTTGTTGATGCCATCAAAGTCTTTTGACAGAATGCTTGTTACCTGTTATATAAAAAAGTCATAAATTGTGTTGTTGACTGTGGTTTCAACATGTAGGCACCTTGCACACACTAATTCAGTATTTCAGAAAGACATCCAGGCTGAAGAATTATAATTGCTTCTCTCAGTGTATGTGTGTACTAATGTGAATGTCAAGGGAAGAATCTAATAAAATTGTGGTAAAAATTATTGTTATGACAAATATAATTTCTAGTGAAATACATAAAGCCTCGTTAGCCCTCCTGTGAAATTTTAATTCTTTGAAAAATATGTCCAAGTGCCGTTTAATTTTTACAACACAAATTTTTAACATAAAAGTTTAAATAACTAATTTTTAATAACTAATTTCTTTTGCCTCTGACATGGTGACTATTTACTAACATTGTACTAGTTATTTTGAAATAGTTTACAAGTATTCAGCTTAAAGTGCAAATTAAGGGGTTAATTAGGTTAATTAGGCAGGTTAGGCTAATTGGGCAAAACATTAGACAACACAGAGGCGGCAACTGAATGTTTAGCACTGTTGCATCACAGCAAGAAGGTTCCTGGTTCAAGCCACAAATGGGCCAGGACTTCTAAGGAGGAATTTCTGTGTGGAGTTTCTCCAGATGTGGCATTTCTCCACGTTTGCATGGTTTTCCTCTGGTTTTCCCCACAGTCCAAAGACATGCTGCATAGGTCAGTTGGATAAACTAAAAAAAATAAATAAATAAATAAAAAAATTGGCATAATGTAGGCATATGTGTGTGACTGACAGAGTGTGTTGTCCAGCACTGGGGAGTTCATGAATTGCAGTTGGAAGCATTAAAACAGGTTTGCTCTGGCAACTTCTGATAAATGAGGGACTAAGCCGACAGAGGTT